GTTGCGCCGCCTCACCGAGCAAGTGAGCAGGTATGGGCCCCCTCGGGTTGACGCGTTTAGGGCCGTACTTGTTGTACAGACCCCTGCGAACATAGGAGTGCACGTTCAGGTAGAGCGGCTCAAGTTCTTTCCAGAGTCTCTCCAGGTCCTCCTCAAAGGTCGGCGTTTCGTACAGCGAGCGCCAGAAAGCACCGTTGTCGCTGTGACCTATAAAGAAGGATGGATGGTGAGAACGAGAAAATGTGATAGAACATCGGAACATTTTAAAGTGCGTCGTCTGAGATGCAAAACATGGTCAGGTCATACCGTTGAGTCTGGCAGCTTGGTTGGCCAGTTCCACATATCGCTCGTAATCCGAGCGAAGTACTTTGCCGGCTGCATCTCGCCAGCCCTTCCAGGCAAATAACAGCTCATCATAATCTCTGGACTCCGCCATGATCTTCTGAAGGTCTGAAAAAAAATACAACATGCTCGCTGTGGCATTGACCACCACGGATGATGCACAACGCATGATTTGAGTTCTTACCGGGATCCAGTGGGTGGCATTGGCCATTATCTCTGCACACTTCTGCTACGCTATATTTGGTCTCCATGTTGGACAGGAGATTGTTGTACTAAAACGGTAAAGAACAAGGCTTAGTTACATCCTCTCTGCTGTTGGCTGGCGCAAAGTCAACTTTCCCACACCTCCTCAAGCTGCGCCGACGGCAGCGCGGCCCTCTCGATGTCGCTGAGTTTTTTGATGATGCGTTTGACTGCGTCTTCCTGGAAGTCCGCCGTGTCGAACTGCCGTGCCCGTTGGCCATATTTTAACGTGTGGGCTGACATGTCCAGGTTCTTCTGGAGCTGGGGAACAAAATTAGCTTTCATTCAGCGGGTGGATGGATGGTTGAAGGGTGAAGAAGGCGTGATAGGTGACCAAGTGGTGACTGCTTGGGTGGTGTTGTGGTTGTATATGTAGAAGAAAGGTGGTAAGGAGGAACGGAATAGTTGGATGTGTCTGGTGATGACGACTGGTGATAAATAGATACTCAGCAATGACGGCTGATTTCAGGGAATTCATCCCTCACCATGTTCTGCTTGTTGGCTTCATTAATGTCAGTGTTGTACGCCCAGGAGGCTTCCGTATAGGCATTCCACACCACTTCCGCTGTACTATTGTATTCATCCAGAAGATTCTTGGCAGCCAGCTCGTCTGTATTCTTATCTGCACGGACAAGGACCATATAAGCCACAACGCGGGGTCAAGGAAAACCGACCATGAAGCCTTTCTATGCACGGTTTGTCTTACCAATGTCCTCCGGATAGCCCTCCGGAATGGGCGGCACCCAGTTGAAGTCAGGCCATCCCAGGACTTCGTTGACATTTTGTTTTTCCAGCCACGTGATAATGGGCTGAAAGTATCTCATCAGTGCGCCTGCGTCCATCTTGTTCGTCCCGATGGCCTCTTGAAGCACTTCAGGCCAAGGTTTGGAGGAACCCGCCTGAAGAACTTTTCTGGAACAACAAAAAAGCTTTTGTTGAAAGCCGCCACCTCTCCTGAGCTTGATCCCACGTAATATAAAACGTACTTTAAAATGGCCCCCGCTTCTGCAGAGCGGTAGATGTCGCATGTGTGCAAGGGTCCAGTGTGTTTGGCCGCTTGGCATAGTTTTTCGTGGAACTGAAACTGCAGGATGAAGCTCAC